TGGAACATCTCCAGCTAGGTTACAGCTGTGTTACTAATGGTAGGATTCTGGTCCAAAGACAGCCTCATCAGCACTATTCAGAGCTCACAGAACATGTCTGGTTCATTAGCAATAAAGATGAGTTTTACAACACAGTCTGATATATAACAAAAGATACCAAAAGATACCATCTGAGGGACGCAAGAGAAGATCCAAAAGTGTTCAAGATTGTAACTAAGTCACTATTTGCGACAATGAAGTGATTCTGAAGAGCCCCATAAACAAGTCATAGCTCATTGAATAATAAGTCAAAGAATAGGAGGAAACATTCATAGATCATTAAGAACCCACACAGCAAAAGTTATGAATATTGTCTGCAAGTTCCTCTTCTTCCAAAGCAAACCATGAAGAACCATCCCGCAAAAAGATGAACATTTTTGTGTGTACTCTGTACTGCAAATAATGAATAAAAAAAATCTGCTACACAGGTATATTCATGCTCTTAAGTTTAGCAATGATATATTCTTGTCCGAAGCATCAGAGAATTAGTATATAGTACAGGACAAGGTTTACTGAAATTAATTACGTCTGAGCATGACAGTTTCAAAAAGCACGACCACAGACTACATCATCTTATCTAGTACCAGTAACTAATCTTATGCCAACATGAGAGATCTCAAAAATAATGGCTATCTGCATCTGTTCTAATCTAACAGCTTGTAGAAACAAATCTGCACATATTCTTCACTTTGCTTTAAATCTTTTCAGTGCTCACCCATCTAATACACACTTTGTATATCCAACAATTTTTAAGTTTTTTCATGACATCTCCATATATAATATATTCAAGACAAGATCCTTGTGCAGTACTGACAAAAGCCTGCTCCAACTGTACCTCTTTTCCTACCATTCAATACATTTATAACCTTTCCATACATATAGTCCAGCAAGTATTAATTCCCAACACCTAATGCCAGCTCCAAGCAGAAAAGCTAAGGTTGTATCGCAGCTCAACGCTTGATTTTTCCATTGTCTGAGTTTCACTGAAATCTAAACTGTTAAAGGACACAAGCTACCCTGGATTAATGAAAGGAATATAGCTCACTCTCCTAGACGACTCTTTCCAATATTTTGTCTAATTTCAATATTCTGTGCTTCAAAATAAGAAATTTCATTTTTCCAATAGCTTTTTGGAATCCTTTCCCAAATTAACTTCCTTCCCCTGTTCATTCCTGCCAGAATATCTTCAATTCTTTTTAATAATGTCTATTAATCATCCCATCAGACCACTAGTTTTAATCAACTGCATCACATGCTAAACAGTTTTTAGTAGAGGTTTGAAGTTTATAGCATATATTTTGCTCTACTATTTCTCATAGCCAAAGACAAGTATTTCCATGCTTGTATCAGATGACAGATTATTCCAGTATCCCCTCTTAGTGGCCACTTTATGGAAACTAAGAAATAAAATACTTAATAGCTATGAAGTAACCTATTGGGGATGTTTCCAACACTCAATGAAGGCTGATTCATGCTTAGAGGCCTATGAACTTCTTGCTCTGTTGGAAGAATTCTTATCATGCATGAGACGAGTAATCCCTTTTATAATCCTGCTATAGGCTAAATGGACTCAATGACATCTTTTTGTTAAATCAAGGTTAAACTATTTTCTTTTGTCCTTGAAAATATCTTTCTTTGCAGTATAATTGACATTTTTGTTCCTGTGTTCTGAAACAGTTCAGAGAACTCAAATGTTTGCTTCAACTGACAACCTCTGACCCTTCAATTGAGGCATAAGTAGGCTCACAAGCTACATTGTAATGTATTGTTCCAGGATAATCGAGGATGGCTTGGCACATCCGATTCTTCTAAGGTTAAAAAAATATCCAAGCAAATCCTGCAACACAATCTTCCTGACAGAGCAGGTTCTTTTCCAAATCTTAAAAAAAATGATCAGAAAAAAAAAAATCAAAAGCCAGAATCCTTGTATTAATTCTTCTTTGAATGTCAGAATTAAAAAGTTAACAAAAACAATATACCTTTGTGTGCTGGTTTTGGCTGGGATAGAGTTAATTTTCTTCACAGTAGCTAGTATGAGGCTGTGTTTTAGATTTGTGCTGAAAACAGTGTTGATAATGCAGAGATGTTCTACTTACTCCTGAGCAGTGCTTACACAGAGTCAAGGCCTTTTCTGCTTCTGAACCCACCCCACCAGCAAGTAGAGAGTACAAGAAGCTGGGAGTGGACACAGCTGGGACAGCTGACCCCAACTGACCAAAGGGATATTCCATACTATATGAAATCATGCTCAGCATACAAAGCTGAGGGAAAAAGGAAGAAAGTGGGGGTATGTTCGGAGTGATGGCATTTGTCTTCCTGAGTAACTATTACATGTGATGGAGCCCTGCTTTCCTGGAGATGGTTGGACGCTTGCCTGCCGATGGGAAGTAGTGAAGGAATTCCTTGTTTTGCTTTACTTACATCGTGGCTTTGCTTTACTTATTAAACTGTCTTTATCTCAACTTTAACTCAAAGTTTTCTCA